CTTAGCAGCGAAGCGGCCAAAGAAGCCCCCCTCGAAATGAAAGAATGTTGTTCACCCATCGCACAATAGGTACGCCACAATCAAACATCTCCCGTGGAAATACCACGCCACTCCATTGTTTAAGGAGGAAGCGCTCGGCCTAAGGCAGTAGTTCCAAATTCAAGATATTTTTCGACAAAAAGAAATGAGGTACTAAAAACTTGCCATTGTCCATACATAACTCATAATCATCGTAATTTAATCTACCTGCATTTTTGTCAACAATCAGAATTTCTCAGCATCCAAACCCCCATATCCAATAATATGACTGTGTAAATGACTATCACATATTCCATCCATGCATATTAGATAGCACGTCCATTGAAAGGTCCGAAATGAAGTTGTACCAGGAAAATGACGTGTAATTAAGTCAACAAGAGCAGCAGCAGAGCTTCCACAGGAATCCACAAGATTGGTTGCTTTTCCCCCAAAGCTATTCTCAAGCTCTAAACCAACCTGAACTAATTAAATCAAGACATATTATGGCTCCCTCAGTGACATTGTCACAGATTGAAAGTATAATATAATGTCAAAGTTGCAAGAATTAGAATAGGAGCCGCAGCTCAAGAATAAACTAAGTAATAACAGGACACTACTTTCGAAAAAGAAAAAAGTTCAAAGGATGTATAAAATAAAATAAGATAAAATACCAATAAGTCCCATGTCACAAAGAAATGAAAAAGAAAAAAGAAGCTTATGTGACGCAACAGGAGGCACAAGAGGCCAATATCCAAGAGCAAATTGTAATATGAACACGGAGAGGAATATGTACCTCATGCAGTAAGCGGATACGCTCATCCTCTAAAGGAAGGGGTCGTGGCCATTTTAATATGTTCCTTAGTTGAGGACCTGAAATCAACTTAAACAGCTTTCCAATTTATGTTTTTTCCTATAAAAGCATTTACTCGTCACTAATAAGAAAGCAGAAGAATGGCATAGCTGCATACAACCACTAATTAGATAGCAGAACAATTGAATAGCTGCATACTCTGGAATAGTTTTTCAATTGATGCATCTCTGTAATTTTATATTAACAGCCTAAATAAATTACACAAACCAAATGACATATCCGACCATGTTACACAAAGGTGAAAAATCCATTTAGAAAACACGAATTCCAGTGAAACTCCAAAACTTAGGGTCTCTCAACAGATTCTCAGATAACTAGATTAGACGATGACACCAATTATTCCATCATTCTAAGGCTACAAAGACTTCTATTCTCCTTAAAATAATCTGTATTAATAATATTTACAACAGGAAGATACATTAAGTTAAAAAAATACCATCAAGTTTTTGCAAGCGATCTGCATCTAAGGCTGATTTATCCTTTTGCAAAGCCATATTCAACCCCAAAGCTAGATTGTCATAGTTCAATTCTTCATCTGTACAAACAAGAAAACCCAACTCTAATAAAAGAATCATATGAACATAAAGACAAAAGAAGGTGTGGAGAAGGGAGCCAAAAGATAACATAAATTTCCATACCAAAATCATGTACCAAGCATTTTATGTATCGCGTTACAAGTTTTTTCTTCTTTTTTTTCTCTCTTTAGAAAAATATATTTGACTGTATGTCAGGAGCTCTGTACAAAATGGGGCAGGTAGCCATCCTTTACACTATTATATTTTTCATATCAAAAAGTATGGCACAAAATCATTGGCTGTCCCAACTTCTACTGCCTCTATGCGAAAAATGGACAGGGGAGAAAGAAGTCACAGGGTATAGTAGGTAGAGAAGACATGGGGGGAGAAGAGAAAGGAGGTCAATGGAGAGAATACATTGAGATTTAAGGGTAAAGTTAATTTCTGATAGAATTCACAAGCTCCCCATTTCAAGAAGGAAAATTTAATTTTTGAAGGTAAAGAAGGAAACTTTATTTAAAAAAAATGTCTCTCAAGATCACTGAAACCAGCAGGCCGTACTTTTGCAGTAAGAAAATTCAAATTATGAATATGCCGGTTCATTTATGCAACAGCTGCCATTTAGTCATGAAGCCAATATGAAACAATTTTTAACAAAGCCAACAGACATATAATTAATTAAGAAAATAGGATGTATCAAACGATACTAGAGATGCATAGACATTCAGAACCAGAAACACAACTTAATAAATGCCAAATTTAAAAGTGAACTGGGCAGCTTAATTTAGAAAAGCTAAAGTTTTGCCATATTCTATCAAAGTAGCAGTAGCATTTATCTAGCAAGGTAAAGGGAGGAACTCTCCAACTGATCAAGAAGGATATCATGTTGTTAACCAAAAAAAAGACATCATGGTGTTGGTATGGTGATTGGCAAGGGATTCATCAGAGATGCAGGAACTGTCAGAGAAACAAATGAGAAACATCCTTGGAATGCTAGGGATATGTGTTCCCCATAAATTTCAGAAAGGGAGTCATAAAAGATGTGAAACATGTTTCGTAGGACAAATAGTATCTCCTTGAAACTGAGTTTAGAGTACAACATCAATCAAATATTAATCGCACTCATAAAAAAACTTGACTAGGACGAACCAGGGCCAGGCAGAAAGATGAAAGTATGCTGCTTGCAAAAGGCATATAAACATCTCAATAAATAATCACTAGAATTAATGGACAGTTTTCCTTGGCAATAAAAAAATTATTAATTCAAGTTTACCAAACAAGATTCTAATCGCACGTTCCAAATTGACACTACAACTAGCAAAGAAAACTAAAGGGATATGCATAGATAAATAAATGCAATTGACGACACAAATCACACATACCTGGCCAAAAGCAGAAGTTCAGAGCATCTAGGACAAAGAGGTATTGAACAGTGAGTGGTCCACCATCGAAATAGTGGATTCTTTCAAAATCCCAGTGAATACTTGGAATCGAGCCATTCATTTCATCCACCATTTTCTCTAATCCTATATAATATAGAGAAAAATATTTAACATAAGGTCTTTGAGAAATTCAACAAATATTTACTCTTTAACCAAATTTCAAAGCAAATGAACATGGTTCATAATACCAAAAAATTGCCATATGAAAAGAACTGAGAAAAATCAAAACATATTCTAGAGCTCAAAATCGGTTTGTTAACACTTCAATATATTACAAAGCCCCAAGCTTCGTTTTTGAAAGTGGATTTTCCCCAAAGACTTTATTTTGTTAAGTGGTAAATAATGCATTGCTGCATTAGGACTCCAAACACAATCCCAACACTGGAAACTGTGAGAGGATAAATAGAGTAAAACAATGTCTTTAAACTCGGCTCTGGTCTATGACTCAGCCCTGACCCGAGCAGAATAAATCCGCCAGTCCAAGTGGATGAAGCTGAGTAGTGTACAAGACAAAACAATTAAAAAATGAATAAATAAATTGTTAAAAATACTAAAAATAAGGAAATTTAAAATTAATATAAAAAGTCCTTAAAAATCCAAAAATTACATAAAATATGAATTGTTGAAATTTTTTATTTATACCTAAATATCCAGAAAATAAATAAAACATAAAAATTGAAGCATGAGAGAAAACTCCCAAGTCATCATAAAAATTATATAAACGATCTAAAGATGTAATTCTAAGACATTTATTTACGATTCATCAACAAAATTTAGCCATTCCTTTTAAACAGGGGGCATGTCGGCCCCTGAAACTGGCCACGAAGTCCGAGTGGACTCAACCCTGAGTGGACTAAGCCAAGTCCTGAAACACTGGAGTAAAGAAGTGGAGTAAAAAAGTGAAGACGAAACATACAGTACTCCGTTTTTTGTAGGTCACGGACCACATTCATTACAAATAATTCATTTGTGTGAGTACATGAACCTCAACATAATTAATCAAGTAAAGTTACAATACAACGAGTATTGTGATGCCCTATGTGCTTAATTTGAGCGGCTTCTTGTCCGATTATTTACAAATCTGGAAAAAAAATAAGAAGAAAAAGGAATAAGAAGTTTGCTACCGGTTTTACCAAACTAAAAATAAGAACGAATAAATGTAGTTATGCAGGTATATCCCATTCTCATTGCAATAAATAAGAAATTCTTCGTAAACAATGGCGATAAAAAACAACACAACAAAATACGACAAGAACGGGAGGGAGTGAGAGAGAAAATAACCATGGAACATTCAAGCAGAAATGACAAAAATGGAAATTCAGATGGACGAGAGAGAGGAAGAATGAGAGAGGAGAATGATAGAGAGAGAGAGACGGAGAGAAGAATGACAGAGAGAGAGAAAGAGAAGTACTAGATGAATCAACAGAGACATGAGAAGAATGACTGGCAACCCAAGAAGACGATGCCTTCACTCTCTCCATGATTTCTCTCAACAAGTTTCCGTTCCCAAAACCTAACTAAGCGCGTAGCACCACCATTAAACCCAAACCTCAAACCTCTCAGCCATTACAAACCATTGCGCGAACTCTCTGAACCTCAGACTTCAAAACCAAACTATCTGAACCTCAAACCTCGTAACTTAACTCAGCCACTCAGCAGTAATCGTTCTCTCTTCACTCACAAGCCGTTCAAAGCCTCAAAACCCTAATTCTTAAATAGCCGCCATGGAAATGCTGTGTATTCCTGGTTTTGCCGCGTCTACCGGTGTAACGAAAGGCAGTACGAATTACACACGCGCGAATCCCTTTTGACGAGGGCTCGGAGACGGACGGCTCAAAACGACATTGGTAGTGTTTTAACGGATGTGATTGTTTCTTGGTAATTTACTGAATTGGCCTCCTCCTAGGAAGAACCGCAAATGACCAGCATACCCTCGTTTCCTAAGTATTTGAGAAAGGGATCTTAGGTCAACTCCTCGCGGTTTGTATAGAGCTTAGGGTCTAAACAATCAAATCAGAGCCTACCTTATTGAGAAATATGTTGTTTTTAAAAATTTTTATGATAGTTTTAAAATCTTTTTTTTTTTTAATTTATAAAATTTAAAGCTTCAAAAATACAGTAGATCAACATATTTATGAAAATCTTGAAAATTGATGATCTAAATATACGTTATAAAATACAATATTTTTAAAACTTGAAATCTATTTTTTTTTGACGTCGAGATGATCAATTTGAAGATATTTTAAACATAAAAACATCCTTTTCTAATTAAATTTTTGAGGTAAACTCTAACTTTATTGTTTTTAGAGCTTTGGCCTTATATAAATTTTTCCCAAAATAAAAAAAAAAGGACATTTGTCTGCCTACATTTGTCATATCACTTTCTATGGGCAAGACATGATCAATTTAAAGGTATTTAGCCCCAAAACAACTACTTTTAGTGAAATTTTTGAAATAAACTCTAATTTGATTGGCTAGAGCTTCGGCTCTAGATAAACATTTTCGAAAAAAAAAAAAACACCTTGTTTGTCGGGCCTATATTTGACATATCGGCAGGAAGACGACAAAGAGAGATTTCAAATGCCTTGGCTATTCTAGAGAGAGAGAGCTCAAATGTCTTTGCTATTCTAAAGAGAGAGCGCCGAAAACTCTTTGCTATTCTAGAGAGAGAGAGCTCAAATGAGTGTCTTTGAGATTCTTGTCCACATGTCTCCAATATGAGACGAGCTAGGCAATGCGGTTATCACCGTCCAATCAATCCTAGAGTTGTTTGGCCGTACAGTCAATTGGTTGAAGTTGTTTAGTGGGACACATCAACCTTGATGGAACCGTGATAATCACTGGATTATGACTTTTAAAGTTTATTTTACTGTTCATCTGATTGGTTCAAAGAACGTGCTTTGCATGTGATTAAAAGTGCTGACGAATAAGTAAAAACTGATAAAAAAGATTTAGCTGTAAAATAAAAAAGTAACAAAATGTATAACTGAGGCATGATGAATACTTTTTAATCACGTAACTCTATATCTCTTTATTAAAATAAATTTTTAAAAATTTAGGAAATTAATTTATCTCCCTCTATCCACAAACCTCTTATTTGTCATGATCTTTTTTTATTTTTATGACGTGCACGTCCTTTAACTGCAGCTCAATTAAATTCTTTTTTTAGGGCACTTATAAATCTTTTTTCTTTTTTTTTTATAAGTGATTTTCATTTTAGATATTAAAAATCCAAAGTCACTTCATATTTCAAATATGCCAATTTGCATGGAAATCTCAATTGCAATGCTAAATATGCTAATTTGCATGGAAATCTCAATTGCAATGCAACTTTCGCTATTAAGAATCCAAAGTCAATAGTGACTTTTGATTTTCAATATCCGAAGTGATTTTGGTTTTAAATAACTTCTAACAAAATAATACAATTACACATAGTGAAAATTCAAAGTCATTTGTGACTTTGGAATTAAACAATGACGAACAAAACGGATATGCACGTATAAAAATTAAGGGATATTTTTATAATTATTATTTTTAAATGGATATGGTAAATTTCTCTATATCTTTGTCTTTTTAATTTATTATGAAATGCTCTCATTTCAAACTTATTTTCTTTATTTTTTTTCATTTATATTTTTTTGTCCTTTCTACTTATTTTAAAATGCCCCCAAATTGAATATTTACGGTCGGACAACATAATTATTAACTTTAAACTTTGAAGGTTCAAACTCTTCACTTTAAAGGCTCAAGTTCTTCACTTTGGACCTTCAAAACTTCACTATGGACCTTCAAATTTCTAAGACTTCATGTAGCATTTCAAAAAGGTATCGAACTAACTTCATATCTTGAAAGTTCAAAGCTATCATAAAAATTATTCTAGACTTCGGTCCAAAGTCATTATCAATTTGGAGCCATTTTTTGATAAAAGAAATAAAAGATTGAAAAAAATGGTATAAATATGGAAAATTAAAAATAAAAATAATTTGTAGATATATCATTCAGGGGGGTGGAAACCCCTTAGAAATTCATTAAATGGCTCAAATAATCTTAATTAGCATTTGAGGGTTCGAGGGATTACCTTTTCTTTGTTATTACACTTAGGTGCCTATTCAAAAAAAAAATCAAAATTTTCTCATTCAAGATTGGGGCATTTCAATAATGGACCTACCAGAGGTCCCAACAAAGTGATGAAAATACTTTTGCTGGTTAGGGATACAAGTGAGGAACTCACCGGATTAATAACAATGAACAACTAATAGTGTTTTTGTAATTTGCCATCCAAATGCATTGCATGTATCAAATGATAAAAATGCTCATTGTTGTTCCTCGTTATTAATCTTGAATAATGTGCTCCCTATTTGTAAACCAGAACAAGTAGGGTAATCTCATATTTCAAATTAATAAAATAACCCTAAATGTTTCCCCTTTACAATTATGAATAAGGGCAATTCAAAATTTTATAACTTTTTAAGGGGTACATAAGTAATAAATAAATAAAAAATTAGATCTTAAATATTAATTAGGATAATCAAACGCTTTTAACGATTTTATAAGGAATTTCAACCCCTTGAATAATATTTTTTCTAAAATATATAATAACAATATGTTAAGGTGTCACGAGAGTAAATTTTTATTTTTCTATTGTCAACAGGCAAGAACATTATCCAAACGTATTGTGTTTTGGTACCTTGGGACCCCTTTGACCACCTAGGCCTCGGGTCAGTCGCTTCAAAGCCCACCACAGTTCAATTAGCATTTCCCTCTCTTTCACTCTCTTTAGTCTTGATAAAAGCATAAAAGACAATTTCATGTCATACAATTAGAAAAGGCTTCAACTTTGTTTTAGACTGCCCAAGTTTTTTAGGCGAAGGCTTATTACCTTTCTCCATCATTTTTGTAATGAAAAATGGCCCGACTGACTTCACATACTGCTCGTTGATCAGTATGTGACCCACCTATATATAAATTGTATGGTTCGATCTGAATTGATGGTTAGGATTGCATTTGGCTTTTAATTTCTTTTTCTACAAAACATTTTTGAGTTGAATTTTGGGGTGTCTCATCTTCTTATTGGGGTACACATATAAAAAATAAAAGATACATTTTACGAAAATGCCCCAAATGTTATAGGGATATTCTGGTAATTTATCAAAAAATTATTATTATTATTTTTATCATGTGCACCCCTGTAAAATTATGTACACCCCAAATTTTGTTGCAAAAAAATTTTTAAAAAAAAATATTAAAAATAAAACACTATAAACTATCAGATAAAGATATGATGTTCAAGAGCCAACTTGGGGCATTGTTACTCAAGCTATCCTAGCGAACTATTTAGATTTGTTAGCCGAGAGCATGGGTCTCATATACTTTATATGTGGGTGGATAAGAATAAAACTTTTATCTTTTTTATTTTAGGTAAAATTGAGTTATCGTATCTTCCTAACATTTTGGATTTCAAGTTTTGAATTTTATTTCAAGCATATAAAAGAAATGTGTTCGTCTTATTCTTTAGATAAATTACCAAAGTTATCATTAAATAATAATGTATACTGATTTAAATTAATTAAAATTTTACAATTATACCAAGCTATATTACTGTTGCTAAAATGAAGAAGTCAAACCAATAGAAAATAGCATGTGAGAATTTATTATAAAGCCCATTGCTGGCCTGGTCAGAAGAATATGCATAACTCTAATTTACCTCGGATCATATTTGTGCGGTGTTGAACGATATTGTGGCTTCTATGAAACAAAAATAATTCTAGATGTTTGATCTAATATTAGATGAAATAATTTTGAGAAATAAATGTAAATTTCTCATAATTATTTCATCGTTAATTTCTCAAAAAAAATCATCTAAATATTAATGTAAATATCTCTTATATTCCAGGCCTCGCACCTGCATGAAAATATCCTTAAAAAGTTATTTTTTTTAAGAACGATGTCGTTTTTCTCCATTTTTTTATTTTTTCCAAAATGACCCTGTGTTCGACACTCTATGTACCTCTTTATATGGGGCATGTCCTCAACAGAGTATGGTACTTTGAGTACTCTGTTGAGGACATGCTCCATACGATTTGGTTATGGGCTTTATTTTTGGGCAAGCTTTCCATGCTTCCCCTACATCACAGAAGTTTTATCCTCTCCCTTATTCAACCGTCCATATGGAGTGGAGGGTTAAGATTGTCCCAATCACAATGTCACGTCTCTACACTATTTTATTTGTAATTTTTTTCTATAAACTATTTTGACACCAAAATTTGGACGTTCATTCCTCTATTAAACTTGCACTAGCAAAAAAAAAGAAAAAAAATTCAATAAAATAAAATGACCAAAATACTTTTGAAAATTTAAAGGGGTATTTTGGTCATTATATTTTATCAAAAAATATTTTTAATATTTTTTATAGGTGCGCCCCAATGAGAAGATGGCACATACTAAATTTCATATTCATACAATTTGTATAAAAAAAAAACTAAAAATAAAATACTTTGAGACGTTAGATCTAAGATCAAACGGTGAGTAACTCTTGATCAAAATTAGACGGTTAGATGGTAGGGGGAGTATAGAACTTCTATGCTGTAGGGGAAGCATAGAAACTTTTCCCTTTATTTTTAACATAGTTTAAGTACTTTGAGTACCAAATATGTTTGATTTACAGATATGCAATTTTCGGTACTCTTGAGTACCAAATTTATTTTTAGGCTAAAATTTTAACCCAGTTCAATACTCGAAATACAGAGATGTTTAATTTTTGCAAACATATAACCAAATAATTTTGCAGAACAAAATTATTTT